TGGTTCACATGGTTCATTATAACAGTTCGCGATTTTTCTTTGCCTCTCAGTCATGTGGAATGGCGCGCCTCTTGCTTGGCCAACTCGATTCCAACCGTTGGTTCCACAAATGAATCAATTGTTTCTCACAATTTTGACCTCCATTTTGCAAGGGTGTTCTGAGGGCGTGCTATGCCATCACAGAATGGCCCCACACACATATCGCCAACTTGGAGGGGCGATATTGAATGCCACAAGGATCCAGCCTGACCAACATGGGCGGTCACCTTCTTGTACTACTATTAGCCAGGGCAAAGGAGCCTTATTTGACTAGGAAAGGACCATTCTGGCTTTCTAGATCGCTCCCTCAAAGTCCCGATCCAGGGCATCGTAACGTCCTGGAACGCTTTTTACCAGGGCGTTTACACTCCTCAGCACTGGAAACAGCCATTGCTAGTGTTGAATCAACTACTCTGAAGTATACTACAGCAGCCTCTATTGGCTAGACATATTAGGTTATCTGTCACATGTCCTGGACACATATCACTGGCGTAGTAATGGGGCGATTTTTGTCTTGGCGATGAAAGGTCCAAGCTTGCCACAGTAAAACCCCATTATTTTATACAAAAATGTAACCAAAAAAATGTAGAGTATTTGAATAATTGCGCGAAAATGATACACATATGTACCAAACGTCCGGAACGTCCGGCAGTCCTCTCTTAAGCTGGTTCGCATTTTGCCATTCCGAGTGACTTCAAGTGGTGTCAACCAAGCAAACCGGCAAACCAGCAAAATAGACACTATTTCTTCAAGCGATACATCCACCATGACCACCACCATCTCTTTTGTGCATCTCTTTCTGCCGAGGTACTAGCATCTTCTTTTTGGTCTTACAAGGTTGTCGATGGTCACCGCCTACTAGATCTACATGGCGCTACAGGTGGAATAGGACGGGATTGCTTTCATGGAGAAATTGCGACCATTCTGATGTAGCTGCTTGTTGGTCCAATTGAGATTCTCACACAAAATTGACTGTTCGCATCTTCTACAACAACATGCAAAAGATAACAGCTGACACTGTCATTCGCACTGCTTCCATCTACCAAGGGCTCACAGCCAGGGCAGTGGATCATGAGACATATCGCTACCACCGGACGTTTCGAGGATGCTTTGGTGTCTGTCCTGAGCTGGCGGCCGAACTGTGGAACATGCTGGATGATGAACGATCCCCATCAGGATCATCGATGGGTGACCTACTTCCTGGCTACACTCATGTTCCTGCGCACTTACACAGTCACTGCTGTTCTGGCCATGATATTCATGAAGGATAAAAGACAATTCGGCATTGGGTGTGGGTATTCATCGAGAAGATAGCCACTTTGGACTTGGTGAGCGATGAGCAAGAATTCGCTTTCTTCTTCATTTTTATCCATCGCCGTCTTCACCAACAGAGAGCCCTCACCATGTACATGCTGTTGCACATCCAACACCACTGCCTCCAGATCAGATGGGAGTACCGACGAATGAATAGACAATGGCAGTCGTGTCTGGTAACTGTTGATGGAACGACTTTCGCATCAGGGAACAAGGTCCTTTCTCAACTGGTTGGTTTACCAAGAATTTCAATGGTACTGGACTGAGGTATGAAATTGGTGTTGTATTCAAGACTGGATGGATTGTGTGGATCAATGGTACCTTCCCTTGTGGTGAATGGTTGATATTGCATTTCTTTTTCATCTTTGGTCCACATGTTTGATGGAGATGAGAGAGCTGTGCTGACAAAGGGTACAGGTGTGTATCCTCAGTACTTTGACTGCCATGGCGACACCTTGACAATAACAGCAGACTAGCAGGAAGGCTCTTGCAAGGGCCAGGCATGAATGTGTCAATAGGAGACTCAAGGAATGGAGCTGCCTCCTTCAGAGGTGGCGCCATTCACCTTGATAAACAGGTAAGATGGCCCATGGCTGTGGCCAACATTGTGCAGCTCCAAATTATGGAGCGGCCAATGTGGCAGGTGGACTACTATGATAGAGTCAACAATGAGTTTGACTTTGATTATTAAAATAGTTTGTAGTTACTCTACTAGTTGCAGCCTCACTATTAGCCATAGCATTGACAGTCAACAACCAACCAGTCTACTCAGGTGTGTAATGCTTGTAATGCGTTTTCCTGCTTCTCCCCGTGGAAGCGAATTCACTTGCAGCTATCACCTGACTGTCGCTCAACAACACTTTTATTAATTAATTGTCCGCGTCAAAACACAGCAGGTATCTTTGCTGTATTGCTGCATCGAAAGAATTACATGCATATGAAAGCTGTTGCTGCTGCGACAGATGCTAGACTATGGTTGCGGTTCGCTTTGGGTTGACATCACACGAATTGCCCTCAACGGACTGAGGTCTTTCACACTTTTATCGCTGTATGTGCAAGTTAGTCTGTACGTCGCTGTGTGGTGCAAGTTAGTCTGTACGTCCGGCATAAAGGATGGGGTAAATAATAATTGTTAGTTGGTAAAATATACTCCGAGTACCAAACTATGTGTGTGTGCAAGTTAGTATGTACGTCCGCCATAAAGGATGGGGTAAATAATAATTGTTAGCAGGTAAAACATACTCCGAGTACCAGAGTATGTAAGAACGGTCAGACTAAAATCCTCCACCATCGGTCTGTCGTCAACCGGGGGCACGAATGACTTTGGCGATCCAAAGATTATCCCTTTCTCTAAAACCACGTAGAACTTGTACCGGAGCCTACGGGGAGAAAGATTTATTTTCAGTGCTCGACGACTCGCTTGTTAATCGCTTTTATATAGAGTGTAGCACACCACAAGATTCGTCTTTTAATTCTGAGCCCAAAGATGTTAACTCCTTGGAATGACCGAAATCTGCTCAAACGTGCAAGCGCGGATTTTAGTCTGACCTGTCTTAAATGTGTGGCAAGTTAGTCTGGTACGTCCGTCATAAAGGATGAGGTAAATACTTAATTGTTAGCTTGGTAAAACATACTCCGAGTACCAATGTGTTGTGTTTTGGTTGGCTATCATAGACTACAGTAGACTGTGTGTTCAGTTGAACACAGTGTTGGATTTGGCCAAAGAATCAAATCTCTTTTTGACAGTTGAGGGCATCAGCCTTCGGCTGTCTGTTCTATCGCTGTATGTGTGTGTGTGTGTGTGTGTGTGTAGGTGTGTGTACGTTGAGTGCTGTGTAGATGTGTGATGTTGTTGTGTGTGTGTGTGTTTGTGTGTGTTGTGTTGTGTTTGTTGCAGCTGTTTTGGTCACATAGGGACACTTTCCTCGTTAAGGATAGGGATTGATATTGTTGTGCTTTGTTGGACACAGTAGTGGGTATAGTTACTGGCTGGCTATGCAGACTCGCTAGTGTGTCCAGATAAACACGGTGGAGGTTTGGACAAAGACATAAAGGACACTTTCCTGGTTAAGGATAAGGATTTATATTGTATGTTCTGTTGGACACAGTAGTTTGTACACGTGGTACCAGTGCTGGCTGGCTATGCAGACTCGCTGGTGTGTCCAGATAAACACGTGCAGGTTGGCGAAGAAGTTCATTAGGGTAGGGAATCAAATCTCTTTTTTGACAGTTGAGGGCTCAGCCTCCGGCTGCTTGTACTGATTTGCTTGATAGCCAAAAACCAATGACGTGCACCCGAACTCCAAACTGGCTTCCAAGCACTCGACTCTCAACTATTAAAGGGTAATAGATATACCGGGCGAGCTGAATTGAAAGATGGGCGGCATAATAATATTGTTAAAGTTTGGCTGAAGGTGTGTCATTAGATTTTTCCGTCTGAGAAAGTGTGTGGTTTAGCTTACGGAGTTTAGAGGTGTGCACGTGACGTATAGATTTTTCCGTCTGAGAAAGTGGCGTGGTAGCTTACGGGAGTTTAGAGGTGTGCAACGTGAGACGTAATGATTTTTCCATCTGAGAAAGATGCATGGTAGCTTACAAGAGTTTAGAGGTGTGCAAGGCCAGTCATTAGATTTTTCATCTGAGAAATGGCGTGGTAGCTTACGGGGGTTTAGAGGTGTGCAAGTGAGTCAATAGATTTTTCCATCTGAGAAAGTGGACGTGGATAGCTTACGGGAGTTTAGAGGGTGCAAATGTGAGGAAAATATTAGGATCCGTTGCTACCGTATGATTATTATGAGAATGCGTGAGAAAGAGGGGGTTGAAGTAAATCTCTAACCCTAAGGATAACCAACCAACCAAACCCACCACCACCACAACAAAGGACACCGGAGGTGTAATAGATATACCGGGCGGCTGAATTGAAAGATGGGCCGGCATAATAATATTGTTAAAGTTTGGCTGGAAGGTGTGTGTCATTAGATTTTTTCCGTCTGAGAAAGTGGGCTTGGTAGCTTACGGAGTTTAGAGGTGTGCAAGTGAGACGTTAAGATTTTCCATCTGAGAAAGATGGGTGGTAGCTTACGGGAGTTTAGAGTGTGTGCAAACGTGAGTCAATAGATTTTTCCATATGAGAAAGTGAGTGGTTTAAAAGTAGCTTGTGGGAGTTTAGAGGTGTGCAACGTGAGTCAATAGATTTTTCCATCTGAGAAAGTGGCGTGGTAGCTTACGGGAGTTTAGAGGTGGGCATAGTGAGGAAAATATTAGGATCCGTTGCTACCGTATGATTATTATGAGAATGCGTGAGAAGAGGGGGTTGAAGTAAATCTCTAACCCTAAGGATAACCAACCAACCAAACCCACCACCACCACAATAAACGGGGTCAGAGATCACCGGGGTCTGCCCGGTATATAAACGGGGTCAGAGATCACCGGGGTCTGCCCGGTATATTCTTGCTAGCTAGCTAGCTAGCTAGCTATAGCTAGTACCGTTACTACGATGAAATCGGGCTCACATAAAGTGAAAACATGGGACGCCTCGAGCCAAATGAGGACCAAGCACTCCTCTGCCAGCCAAATCAGCAACGGCCGAGGATGGCCATGACGAAGACTCGGGGAACGATAGGAGCCACGACGATGGCATGAAGAATATGAATACTGCTGCTACGGCCACAAGTGGCGCGGCCATCCCTTCCGCAGTGAACGACCACGAGACCGATCACGAACCTCACAAGAGAATGGGAACCCATCACATGCCAATGTCCAATGCCTGCCACCAGTGCTCCTTTACCGAAGAGATTCGACACGATATTGAACCACTGCCGTCAACACGACGAGGGCGCACCATCAGCCAGTCACAACCGGGAGCCTACAATATAAGTGTCCCCGCAAGTCTCCGAGGGCCGCGGTCGGTACGACAGCCACGGAACGAACAAGGAGTAACCTTTGCGGGTACTAGTACTGATCCCATCATATCGGAAGCAACCGTCGTAGATGACGAAGAGGCCCAGCAAGCCGAGTGCACAAGAACCACCTGCAGACAGAGAACCGATGTGGTGCTGGATGCCAAAATCCTCCACAGCGGAACACAACGGGCACCATCCCCCGTCAGCCGAACAAGCGTGCTTCTGATTGCTGCATGGTGTGATCCTTGTGTGTTCGCTGCTATCTGCCATTTTACTGGGAGTGTCTTCTTCATCCTCATCATCCAACCCTGATGATGATCTGGGTTACCAGACGCCGTCACCCCCTCCAGAAGCAACAGTGGCCATTGTACACCCTCCATTCCAAGAGAAGCTTCCCAAAGCAACCATCAAAGGCATACAAGAAATCAACCGTCCCTTCTACAAAGCAAATCTTTGGGTGCTTCAAGACCCACATCTTGATACCTACTCTTCAGAGCGCCAGAGGCAGAGGTTCTATCTTGCCACAGAATACTATGCCACCAATGGGTATCATTGGTCTCACAATGATAACTGGATGAGCTAAAAAGTCTCAGAATGTCAATGGTTCACCTCCAGCAGTTACTCCACAGATTCTCCTTACTACTGGGATCATGTTTGCAATGAAAATCAGACTGTTGTTTCGTTGAGTTTGGCCAAGAACAATCTTACAGGAAGCCTTCCAATTTTCCCCACAGCATTCTTACGACAACTCCAAGTGTTTGATATAGCAGACAACCACATTGGTGGTGCATTCCCTCCCTTGGTTTCCAGTGAATATCTGGAAGTTATGGCTGTGGCTCATAACAACTTTGAGGGAAGAATCAAGGGTGGTGAGAAGCCGTTCCACTTTCCCAAGCTCAAGGTACTCATGACGGCTGGCAATCAGATGATGAGTGGTGCTCCTCCTAGGATTGAATTTTGTAGATCACATTGCAGCATTCCTTGGAAATCCTCAACACTACCAACAATCTCTATTCTGGGACAGTACCCACTACTTTGGGATTGTGTACCAATCTGGCTTACTTTTCTCGTGGCAGTTCCATGAAGGGCACCATCCCAAGTGATAATTTTTCAATTCAGTTTAGCAGAGGTCTACGTGCGTAATTTTACATGCTCGTAGTTTTCATGTTGTAACGCCGTTCTTGTCCCAAACATTGAAAACGATGTACCCAAATGGCTTCTCAGCTGTCCCTGTCCCTCAAAGGCGGAAGTAATCAATGGTCAGAAAGAGTTCACTAATTTTCTCAAATTCGTCGGTCGAGGATTGGCTGACAGGGACGCCCGCTTGATCGTGGATGTCCCCTGCTTGACGCATGATGATGGCGGCCACGGTGTGAACCTTAATTCCGTGTGGAAGCTGCATCATCACAGCCATAGCATCCAGGAATCCCGCACGGACTCGTAGCTGGTCCTTCGCTTTGTCTAATCCAGCGCGGCTGCTCTTCACTTCATGGGTAACATACATTGTGTGGGGGATGCCGCGTTTCCCCTCGGTCTTGTAGCCATCAATATCAAGCACCCGCCATGCAAAGCTCTTGCCAACCCGGAACTGCAGAACGGATTGGTGTGCCATTATCAAAGACAAAGACAGACCACTGGAGTCATGCTTCAAAACCTCCACTGCCTGCCGATGCAAGATTTGGGGGGCTGTGTTGATCTCGCCAAGCTGGCGCTGCTTGAAAGGTTTCAGCAGTCGTTTAAATTTTCCCACAACATGTTCTTGTGCTCCGACATCGGGGTCACCAACCTCGGGACAGGTCCAATCCTGCAAGGAATCGTAGGCAAAACCTCCCACGATCCAGCCCCAGCCACCTGCACTGCATCAAGGCAGATCAGCCACAAAAGCAAGCGCGTACCCTCACGGTAGATCCAATCTACCACCCGATCAATCATACGGTTGAGACGGATGGCATCATCGTTGTCACACATTCGACGCACGGCACCAGCCACGCTTTGAACCTTAGCAAACTCGCAACCACGAGGCAACCGGTAGGCGTTCTCAACAAGAGCGGAAAACTGCAGTCAATACCGCTACATTGAGTTTCGCGTTTCGAGGAACCTATTTGTACAGGTTTTAGTAGACTACATAGGAATTTTACTGGGAAAACAGTGTACCAGTACATGTACTGGTACTTTGGCAGCGTCTTGTCCTGCTGGCGAGCGGGCAGGCCATCTGTAATTGCGCTTCATAGTACTGGAAGTCTAACTCGAACAGCTCGCGCTCTCGACTCGAAGCAATGTGTGTTTGGACTTTGGACGATTGAAGTAGATATCGTACCGATAACCGTAACAGTGGTAAAGTACCGTACTATGATACTGACAGTACCGTATGCATATATAGAGCAATCAATTCGATGAAGAATACGAATGTCACACGGAAGACCGGTTCAGTTTAAATTTTAATGAGAGTGATCGAGTGATCTGTTCAGTCACAGTTTTGAAGTTCCTGATTAATAAACAAGAGCTTGAAGGGACGGAGCAAATAAATAAAATGATCCAGGCCAGTTCTATTGGTTCATCGAGGCTTATTGAGCATAAATAGTGTCACGAATTAGAAAGAAGTGTTCGTCTTCTTTTGTTCCAGTAAGAAGCAATTTTGAGCAATGCTGATAATCATTTTATCGACAATGAAAGAGGCTTCTTTTACGAACAGTACGAGTATGAGCACTTGAGTACAGCAGTAGTTGAACCTGTCTCACCACTCACCATGTGCCTGTACTGTACATGTAATACGGTAGCTACTCAGTACTGCAATTGACAGCTAATTGACACTGCAGCATGCTGTTTCCCGCGACAGAGCCACAAATTGGGCATCCAAATCCCAAAGCAGAAGCCCTTGCGCTTCAGAGCTCGCCTCAGTTTGCCCAAAGGAATAAGAACATAAGAACTGCACCGAGTTACCTCGAAAGCTCTAAAGCCATGGACCAGGAGAAAGAGTCTGCACAGACGAAGCCATCATCATCTCCCACCGACGAGCAAGCCCTAGAAGAGCCGCGCAATGGCATGGAAGAGATGGCGGCTTCCACTGGAAAAGCGACGCTTCCCTCCAAAGATTCAGCTCACGATGAAGACGATACAGAGCAGAAACAAAAATGTGTTGATTCTAAGGACGCCACTGCCCTTACAGAGGATATTCTGAATCAGATTGAACCCCTTCCAACGCCCTCCCAGAACCGCAATTCTCAGCCAGGAGCTTACAGCGTTGGCGAGCCAGCACGCCTACGAGGTGTTCAAGCTGTGCCAATTAGAAACAGTCAACAGACGGAAGAGGGCCCTGTTACCACCGACAATATCATCCTGGGAGCAACTGTAGTTGATGACGGAGAAGAGGCTGATATGATGGAAGTGGGGCACATGACAATCAATTGCCAAACAACCAGCCCCGAAGAAGTTGTAGTGGACGCCAAGATCCTGGGTGAATCCAACAACGAGCAACCGGTCAGGAGGATATGTATGATTCTGATCGTTTCCTTGATATTTGCATTGGCTACACTTTGTGCAATTCTACTGGGAGTGACCTCCTCCTCCTCGTCATCATCCAACCCCGATGACATCGATGATGGCAGCCTCAGCTCACCCGTCCTAGAAACCACCATGGATACACTCTACCCACCTTTTCAGAATGATCTACCCACCTCTACTCTCAAGGCTATTCAAGATGTCGACAGTCCCCTATACCAGGCAAATAAGTGGATGCTACAAGACCCAAACCTCAAGAACTACTCTCGGGAGCGCCAGAGACAGAGATTCTACATGGCTATGCTCTACTATGCCACCAATGGAGATTCTTGGCTCCAACAGGATGGCTGGATGAGCTACAAAGTCTCAGAATGTCAATGGTTCACCTCCAGCAGTTACTCCACAGATTCTCCTTACTACTGGGATCATGTTTGCAATGAAAATCAGACTGTTGTTTCGTTGAGTTTGGCCAAGAACAACGTTACAGGAAGCCTCCCCATCTTCCCCACGGTTTTCCTTCCATATCTCCAAGTGTTTGATGTGGTAGATAATCATATTGCTGCTGCTGCGCCTCCGTTCATCTCCAGTCCCGACCTGCAAGTCCTTGCAATTTCACACAATGAGTTCTCTGGCAGTCTCAGAGCCAATGGAGGATTCGACTTTCCCAAACTTCAAGTTGTCCAGTCCAATGGCAACCAACTCCAGAGTGGAGTACCCAACCGCATGGCTTACATGTTGGAACATTTGCAGCATTCACTGGAAATTGTCAATTCAACGGACAATCTCTTTTCAGGTGCAATCCCTCCTTCCTTGGGGCTCTGTACCAAGCTCACCTACTTTTCTCGTGGCAATTTAATGAAGGGAACCATCCCAAGTGAGATTGGGCTCCTGGCAGAAAAACTGCAACATTTTGATGTGTCCAAGAATGTGGAAATCCATGGCACACTCCCTGTAGAGTTGGGGGCGTTGACAGCTTTGACCCGGCTTGATATTGCAGGAACTTCCATTACTGGGGCCATCCCTGAGGCTTTGTGCAACCAAGCCATGCTAGGAATCCTGCATATTGCTGCCAATTGCAGTTTAGTTGAGTGTTGCCAATGAAAGATGTCACCATATTCCTCCAACTGTTCAGTGTGTCAACCGCAGATGGCTACCATACTACAGGAATCGAATTGAATCTAGCAAGCTCGCTCGGGAAGTCTAGCTAGCTAGCTAGAATCGAATCGGATGTAGTACCACCGAAGCCGCCATTCAGGGGCAAACCACCAAGTGACATTTCAGCATGTTCGTTCGATACTTCGGAGCGGCTGTCTGGAAGAGTGAAGGGATGCAGAAGGGATACTGTAGCTTCCGCCGACAGCCAAATTATAGTAGCGTACCACGCTACTAGTATCGTCAACAGAGCTAGCAGGGCACAGTGCACCAGGACCGGTAATACATTTACCTAACGCTATTTAGAGTCACTCTTTGCTCAATCATGGACCACTGAGACAGAATTCTCGAGTTCTGTAAGAGCTCTGATCAGCACGTCATGAGATTCAATTGAATGTTTCTGAATACCTGCCTTAGATATAAGATACTATTAGCTTGGTATCTTAGTTTTGCCATCAGATTCCATCCTCAAGACAGTACTGGTACCGTATCTTACTGAGCCACTGGATCCAAGTATTTGAACGTTATCTTATAAATTTGATTCATAAGTTGACTCATATAGTACAAGTTGCCAGTAAAGCTTTTCCTGCATGCCCCTCTTGTCCAAAGCTCTGGTGAACTGTGGTGGTAGAGAAATGTTCTATTGCATTTTGATTCCAGTTTTGATTATCCTATTATTTTAAAAATTATCTTTTATCTTATTGGCACCCATGTGAAAATCTGAGTGTCAATTGACCTTTCAGCTCCAACCTCAGGACGAGCCGAGATACTGTGTCGGAAGGTACCGGTATCTTCTGACTGAGGTGGACGATGGATTCATCCATGTTTTTACTCAATTGTTCGAGCCAACCACTGTACAGTTCTCAGGGTTCAGAGTATTCATCAGGTTCAGGACAAAGGAAGGTCTTGAGAAGTCTTGTTCGCTAGTTTTCACTGGAGTTGTTCACTGCAGACTCTAGCTGGAGTGCTGTATGTACAACAGAAAGAAGCAAGGTGACGTTTGAACTGCTGCAGGCTACTGAACTGAGCGACTGGGCTCAATCTTTGTTCACCACCAAAATCACGGCAGCTTCCCTTCTGAATCGAATCGAATCAGAAACCAGCCATGGTCATACCACTCTCTCTTTGCACATCTGCACCAAGCCTGAGTTCTGAACCTGTGCATCAGCATGGACCAAGAGAAAGAGACTCCACAGAAGAGGCCATCAGTACCTCCAGCCGATGCGCAAGCCCTAGCAGAGCGGCTCGATGGCTTGGAAGCGACGGCGGCTTCTGTAGGAGTACCAAGCCTTCCGCCACCACTGGCGGATGTCCCTTCCAAGGATTCTGCTCGAGACGAAGACGATGGTACTGAGAAGAAGCAAAAACGTGCTGATGATAAGGATGCAAGGGGCCTTCTTAACGAGGATGTTCTGAATCAGATTGAACCCCTTCCTGTGCCTTCGCAGAGCGGCAACTCACAGCCAGGAGCCTATAGCGTTGGCGAGCCAGCTCGCCTACGAGGCATTCAAGCAGTGTCATTCAGAAGCAGTGCACAGATGGAAGAGGGATCTACCCCCCTTACCACCGCCAATGTCATCATGGGAGCGACCTTAGTCGATTACAACGGAGAAGAGGCCCATATGATGGAAGTGGGGCACATGACAGTTGATTGCCAAACAACCAGCGGCGAAGAAGTCGTTGTGGACGCCAAGATCCTGAGTGAATCCAACCACGAGCAGCCAATCCCAATGTTATGTAAGATTCTGATCATTGCCTTCATCTTTGTTTCGGCTGTACTTTGTGCACTTGTACTGGGAGTGTCCTCCTCATCTTCATCCAACCCCGATGGCATCGATGATGGCAACCCAAGCCCGCCCATCCTAGAAATCACTGTAGGAACACTCTACCCACCTTTTCAAGATCATCTGCCTGCTGCTACTATAAAGGCTATTCAAGATGTTGACAGCCCCCTATACGAGGCAAATAGATGGATGCTACAGGATCCCAACCTCAAGAACTACCCTCGGGAGCGCCAGAGACAGAGATTCTACATGGCTATGCTCTACTATGCCACCAATGGAGATTCTTGGCTCCAACAGGATGGCTGGATGAGTTACAATATCTCAGAATGTCAATGGTTCACCTCCAGCAGCTACTCCACAGATTATCCTTACTACTGGGGTCATGTTTGCAATGAAAACCAGACTGTTGTTTCATTGAGTCTGGCCAAGAACAATCTTACAGGAAGCCTTCCAATTTTCCCCACTGAGTTATTACCAAAGCTCCAAGTCTTTGATATAGCAGAAAACCACATTGCTTCCTCCTTGCCTCCATTCAACTCCAGTCCACACCTACAAGTCCTGGCGTTTTCACGCAATGAGTTCTCATCCCGTCTCAGAGCCAATGGAGGATTCAACTTTCCTAAACTTCAAGTTCTTCGGAGTGATGGCAACCGACTCCAGAGTGGAGTACCCAACCGTATGGCTTACATGTTGGAACATTTTCAGCATTCCCTGGAAATTGCCAATTCAACGGATAATCTCTTTTCCGGTGCAATCCCACCTTCCTTGGGACTTTGTACCAAGCTCATCTACTTTTCTCGTGGCAATTTCTTGAAGGGAACCATCCCAAGTGAGATTGGGCTCATGGCAGAAAAACTGCAACATTTTGATGTGTCCAAGAATGTGGACATTCATGGCACACTCCCTGTGGAGTTGGGGGCATTGACAGCGTTGACCCGGCTGGATATTGCAGGAACTACCATCACTGGCCCCATACCAGAGGCACTGTGTGACCAAGCCAGACTAGGAATCCTGGACATTGCTGCGAATTGCAGTTTGGTTGATTGTTGCCACCATAAATGAAGCCTAATTTTTAGAACACCCTGTCTCCTTTTCCTCTCTAGCGTCAATGCAGCAGTCAGACCCCAAGCTAATTGTGGTTTCGTCACGCCTCTCTGGAATTTCCTCGCTGCAACCGTGCAAGTCCAGTTCCTATCCTATCATGTCATGCCCTGCATCTCTTTCATACTCTGGGGATGAAAAAGTCAAACAACCGAAAAGTTACCACAGAGTAAAGCCTGTGTTTTATCGATTCGGCAGTTTGTGGGTAAACTTACTTTGTTCAGTCACTTTTTGCTAAAATCGTATATGTATGACTCTTTGAAGTCCTGCCACGCAGCAACGAATCCTTGCCAAGTGACTGTGCATGCGTGTTGTGGTGTCTGCTAGAAGTTACAGGGAAAACTCGTACCTTTCAAGACGCCGCCGGTGTGCCGGTAGTATCCAATACACCGCTGATTTCCACCGAAGGACAAGTCCACTCCAGCGTCATATCCAGTTTAGAAAGGTCAACCCGAGCTGGCCGGAAAACTGCCGCTGGCTGAAGTCGCCTGCCACAATTCATTGGACTGGGGGTTCAACTACTGCGATTTCACCTATAGAGAGCACGAGCGTAGTCGGCGCCTCCATGCAATCCAAACCGGATCACGGTTGAAATTCCAAGCCAAGACGCCGAAAGACACGCCGCAGCAAGTCATCCGCCAGTAGTTTGAATGGGTCGAGTAAGCTGTCAGTTGCTATGGCGGCATGGTAGGTACGAAAGAAGTTGCTACGGGTTAGAGTGGACGATGGATGGGAACGGACTCCAGAGGTTGATTGCAAGACGTTGCAAGGGCCCGAGCCGGACCACCAAGAGAGCAGCCCAACCGAAGGAGGGTGGCCAGGAATGAGGTCAGGCAGTGAAATGACCAGGATGGAGAAAAGGACAAAGAGTATAGCGGTATACATCAAGAGCGCCACGATCATCCCAATGCCGGGAGCTCAGCATGGTGGAGTGCGGGATCGAAGTTGTCTGCGTTTGCCTCTTCTTTGGCCTGGCCCGCGTTGGCTTCCGTAGATAACTTCTCAAACCCCGTTGGGCGCTTTGGATCATCCAAGTCTGGTTTGATCAATGGATTAGACCAACACCAGAACGTGGGGGCTGCAGGTGAACGGCCAAGTGAATGCCAACTAATAGCTCACTCCTAAGTCAGAGTGCCAGTGTCGGCTCGAGTCAGTACTGTACGACTATAGAGAATGATACGGTGGCTGATCTTGATTTCTTCAGAGATCGCTCCTCACCAATGAAGAACTGGCTGAAGGTTCTTCTTGGAGCCAAATTGAGATCACGGCACCTTACACAAGCAAACACGTGTGGTTTCATACAGAAAAGGAATGCATGTAAAAGAGAGTTTTAGAGTGGAGTCAGTCAGTTCCGGTGGGAGCCACAAGCGCTTTGCCTTGCCGTGCCTTGCTTGCAGAACAACTGCAAAGAGAAGCCAACCGCCCGCAACATAATGATCGACAATCGATCGAGCGCCATGATGCGAACAGATCGTCATAGACCGCACCAAGTAAGTTAGCTTCAAAAGTGACCACGGCCAATAACACGCTGATGGAGAAGTCTGTTGCTCGTGGCTGCATTCTCGCAACTATTGAAAATGAGAAGCAAAGATCGTGTAGCTCCATGTACTGGCAGTGCACAACCGTGTAGCCTCTCACACCATCCCCAATAGCTCCCCAATCCAACCTCGTCCTGGTCCTGGACAGACACCCCCGTGCAAAGGTAGTACCTGGCAGTGGCTGTCAGCTGTCAGCTGTCAGGCTGTCAGGTACTCGAATACTCCAGCAGAAAAGAGGCCAGAGGCAGCCTGGAAGACAGGTTTAGAAGGTAGTTGTGGTAATATACCGGTAGGGTTAAAGCTACGTTTGACTCTCCATTTTTGTGTAAAAACGTTTTAACATTTACCGCAACGACCTGAACCCCCAAGTTGTCCAGAATGGGAAATTTGCTTGGGATCTCTGAAGAATACGGGGCTCATTCGCCAAGATCTCAATTCGAACTCCGAGTGTCCAAACTCCAAGCAACTTCAATGAGTAGCTACGGTATCAAAATTGAGTGACCTTTCAAACTGACATTCTTTGCCCGGGGCTTCTACACGACACGAGCTCTACAGTATTCTTCTACTACAGTCGTAGTATTCTTCTCCGAATCCGGTGAAGAACAGTGGTTGTACAGTTGTACACGTTTAACACCTTTTAACTTTTCACGCAATGTTAAGCACTTTTTAACTACGACATTTGGCGAGTTAAATCTGGCTGGCGTTAAAGACTTTTCATCGTTGTTCTTTTTTAACGGAAACAATCTATGATTTAACAAGTAATCTATTCGATTTAACATCGCTGACATAGTAATTCATGTGTTAAAAGCCATTTGAGATTTGACGATTTAACTACGAGACATTTTGTGTTTAACAACCGCGAATACCGAGATTTAACACTGCCTCCACTCAAATTTTCGTCGATTTTGAAAACAGCAACCAACAGATTCGGAGCCTCTCCACAATGACAAGAGTGTCGGCCTTTGTGCTGCTTTGGAGTGAATCCCTACACAAGCAACCATGTGAAAGGCCAATGAAACTCTGGTAGACAGAGATATGAAGAAAATTTGGCTTCATGTGTTGTCAGTTTCGATGATTTTTCCTTTGTATGAGTGGCCGAAGTGCCGCAATGGGTGCCTTGGCTCATCTTCATCGGCTCATCGTCATCAGACCTTTTGTTATTGTCACCATGAGCAAATTCGTCGATCAGGCTGTTGAAGTCTACCGAAATGTCCCTGATTGGGGCGAGATGTACTTCTCAAAGAAGGATTGTCTGGTGGCTGTTGGAATGGCGGAAGAAGCTGCTGAATCTGAGTCAAATCAGCGACAAATGCGTCGACAACTGAAAGGACTTGAGCAGGCACACGGACCTCCTTATCATCCAAACAATGAAGAAGAGAATACAATGCGTGCTGTGTACCTTGCTAGCCTGATTACTGTCAATCCGACAACTGGGAAGAAGGCTTCTCTTACTTTTGTCATGCAGGTTGCTGGATTTCCGGCTGCTTCATCTGGGCCCGGAAAGGACCACATGCGTGTCTCTCGTCGATGGGGGACGGCTAAGAAGAAGAAGCAAGTACTGGATTCTCTGCCTACCCAAGCATCTGCCAGCACTAATAAGCGTCCACCAGTGCCCCCTCAAGCAACAGCAAAGGCTCGTGCCCCTCAAGCAAAAGCAAAGGCTCCTTCCAACGTGGCTGTGAAGCCTCCAAGAGTTGTTCATCTGTCAGATGATGATTCCTCCGATGCACCCAGCATATTGTCTCCCTTGTCTTCTGCTTCTACTTCAGGCTCAGTAAATAGAAAGGAATCCGCTGTCACTACTGAGAAGGAATTTGAAATCTACAACACTCCACCAATCTTCGATTATTCTGAGACAATGCCACCACCATTCACGGATCCTCTTTCGGATGTTTCATCTTTGGCATCTTCTTCCAATATCTCCTTCAAGAATGCCAAACAGCGGCCAAAGAACATTAACAGTGCCATCTCTCACTTAACAACATCGCAGACCCACAGGAGAACAACTCAAGCTGCGCAAGTGGAGAGGCAGACGGAGAGGGAGCTGGAAAACATTCGAAAGTCGATGTACAAGGCTGGAACGGTCATCTACAAGTCTGTAACAACCAAGGAGAATCCGCTTCAGATGTTCAGATCATCTGAAGCCGTTGCACATGCCCTCAACAATCTTATTGGTCTTGACTGCCTTTCTGGAAGAGAATTGGCTGAAGCTGTTAGACACGGACGAGTGAATCAATCCCCTCCTCGCCTCGGACGCAAAGGAGAAATTCCTCAAGCTGTGTTCAAGGCATTCTGTGATGCAGTCTTTACTCTCTGTGCCATCGAACAAGCAAACTGTCAAGACAGGATGAACCGGGAGCAACTGAAGAGTTCTGTTGGTGAAGTACTCAACGAGATGAGGCAACGGAATGAACTTGATCCCATGAATGATGCGAAGTTCTATGGCAGAATCGAAAAGGAAATAAGCCATCTACAAGACTTGGAGAAGGCGGATACACGCGAATCACTCCGTGTGCTGTGGTTGACATACCAGGCCCAATTGAAGCATTATATGAATTGGGAGGAGACTGCTGTTTTGCTTGGCTTTGCGAGAGAGCTTCTGCCAACAGAAGATCCCGACGATTGTGGCTATATCATTTGGGATGATAAGCTACTCCATCGTGTATTGCAGTTCGATGAAATGAACATCGCTCTTGATGGTAGCGATGCATCGATTGGTGGAAGAGAGTCTCGCATTCCAACATCAAAAGGTTTGAATAATGCTGGAAAAGCAGCTGAAAAGAGTGGCGCTTCTATGACACTCATGTTTGGAATGAACTTCGCCAATGAAGCGCTTCCTCCTTTATTCATCTTTCCAACAAAGGCAAAGGACCCAAGCAACTATAAGCATCGAGTCGACTTTGCAGCCTCACTTCCACAAGTGAAGGCACAATATGGGTATAAGCAACCACGTCAACACAACGTCCCGTTTGCCATGAACGCCAAAGGAGGAATGACGAAAGACATGCTCCATTCTTTCTTTCAAAGATGCGTCCTCCCATTGTATCCCGATGCATCGGACCGACCGCATCATCGTCTCTTGATCAAGATTGACTCAGGGCCAGGACGAAACAACCCAGGTTGCCTCCGAATGCTACGAGCAAGAGGCGCTCATCTGCACCCAGGCCTTCCAAATGGCACTGAGGTTGGACAGGAGTGTGATCAGCTCTTTTCTTTGTTGAAAAAGCTTATTTACATGAACAGAGACAAGCTGTGGGCTGCACGATATCGGTTGGAGAACGAGAAAGCAGCTCTTTCGATGGCAGATGTCGGAATGCTTGTGTTTGGTGGTAGTGCCACAATGGTGGACGGCACCACTGTGGAGCTTGTCAATGCTTTTGAGCAATCGACCGATGCCAGCCATATTGCTGCGGCAGCAAGGAAGTGTGGGTATTGTCCAAGCACAAGAGTTGGACTCAAGTCGCAAAAGATTCGACATGAAATTGTTGAAACTGAAGACGGAGACATCAACGATGCTGCCGATCCGTATGGCTGCCTTCTCAGTGAATTGGAGAGGCAAAATGATGCTGCTGTTCAGTTGCTTGAGGACAATGATTACGACTTGGCTGACAAGCTTCGGCGCCGTCCAAAGAGGGTGACAGCAGCCCAAACAAGAGGACGACAATCAGCTGTCACGGTCCCCAACACAAGAGAGAGGCAGGATGCGATCATGGCCTGTTTGACTGCTGGTGGTTGGTTCCAAGCTACCAATGGAGGAGCTCCCATGACATGTGATGATGCCTTGATTGCTTTTGCTCGGAAGGACATGCTACAGAGAGCCGAGGAGCTGCAAAAAAAGAAGAAATCTTCTACAAAGAAAGATAGCAGAGCCTCCGAGGTTAAGAAGATTCTTGACTCGAAGAGAAGCTGCACAGAGTGGCTCAAGCCGGAGCTACAGACAATGATTAAGTGGAAGCAAGGGCCCTCACCAACTGCGCCATATGACGACAACATTCAAAAAAGTCGGAAGAATGATTTAGTGCAGCTATGGCAGACGAAGTACGCATTGATCGAAGAGCCCTGTGATGATGGTTGGACAAGTGATGACAGTGAAGAGTTGCAGCGTCTTCGAGATGGGACCATCTTCGATTTCGAGGACGAGGTTGGCCTCACAGCTTGCTTTGATAATGAAGACCAATACTTGACAACGAGTCTGCTTAACGTTGACAAGGATCGGCGACGTAAAGTGTTGTTGAAAGTGTTGCAATCTATCGATTCGGCCGAGGCGGATGGAATATTAGAAGATGTTTGAGATACCAATGTGTTCATCTGCAGCATTATTATAAAGTTAATAGCTAGCTATTTATTTGTCATAGGTTGGTTGTTACGATGGAGGCAAATATCGATGTCGGTGGCAGGTCTCAAAGGTCGGACGCAACTAGATCTCGTGTCCGTTTGGCAATTCACCAATGATATCGCGGTAGAGGAGATTGGCATCGACAACTGCCTTGCCCCAATCAACACACTTCTTGAGCAACTTGCCCTTATCAACGTCGGACGTCTTGGGAATGAGAGCTTCAACTCGAACGATATCAATGTCTTGCTTGTCTTCCGCCGGAAAGTCAACGTCGATTTCAACAACACGAGCTGAAGAGGTTTCACCTTTCATTTTGTTGATACCTGTCGACCAAGGCGCACGAGTTGTAAGCTTGACATCCCAAGATTCTACAGGGCCCTTTGCATTGCTGAAACTCTCCTTGGACAAGATTCCTTCGGCCAAGAATTGATACTTTACTGAATCACCCCAACGTTGGAATTCCAGGCTAGAACACTTGCAATAGTACTCGTCTCCATTGCCAAGCTTCCAATAAAGAAGGGGATGTCGCGTCTTGGCATCATCCATCATGTCCATCTCCGCGACAGGAAGAATCTTCAGCACTCGATGCCATCGAGGGCCACCAAAAGCGACGACCGAATCGATGAAGTCACTCATTGTCAATCGGTTGGCTTGCCTTCTAAAAAATGCAGCTGCATGGCTGCAGTCGTCTATCGAATACGTGTAGAGCGTGGCACTTCGGTTGCTTTTTCTGCAGATCCGTTTGTTTGCTTTTGATACTGACTCTTGCTCTCCAAGAATGAAGAAGAATACGTGGGAGCAATCCTCACAGATTGATAGTGCAAATTGTGTAGCTCAAGGCTTGCGCCTGGCTGAAAAGAAGGCTCTCTTGGAATTGCAGAGTATGAACCAACTGCTAGATTTGATGGGTTGTCAGTTGGAGCAACGAAGAGGTTCGCACCTTGCTCTCATTTTCCTTCCGATCGACCACACAAAACGCTTTTCCTTCTTTCTTTCTTCTTCTTTCTTTTTTAGGTTTCAAACCATGGCGGCCAATCAACAATTGCGGTGGACAACCTTTGAGGTGACAACGAATCGCCCTGTTGTTGTTGATGAGTACAATCTTCGGTCGTTGGGTGACAAGATCAACCAAACTCTCGAGCGTGCTGTGAATGAGGGGACGAACCTCCTTTTGGCCGTCCTCGTCCACCCAGACTGTCTCCTTCCGTCAAACCGAACCTTCTTCGACAACGTCAATGGGACTGTCCGCTCTTCCTCCATGCAGCATATGGAGATCATCTCCAACCAAGGAAATCGGAAGGTGCTTGTGCAGATCGTTGGCGGTGCGAGTCCATTTGGCTTGGCTGTTCCAATTCCTGATGGCAACGACGACAACCAGGGCAACGGCGGCGACGGCGACGACAACCAAGGTGATGATGGCAACAAGAGCGACGACGCTGAAGAAGACGCTGAAGAAGAAGGCAGCAGCACCGAAGGAGAGAGCAGCGCTGATGATGATTCGTCGGAAGGAGAGACGTTTGTTGGTCTCAGTCAGCTCACGATCTAAACCAACCCAACAATCGACACCCCATGCTTCCCTCTATTAGTAGCACAGTCTCTAGTGCGTATGGTAGCCGCGTATGAGCTCAAACAGCACCGCCGTTCGCCATGGTCAAGCCTTCGTGTTTTTTTGACCATCGAAACTTTAACACCTGTGAAAAACCTTTTGATGTCGTTAAATCTATTTAACCCTCCCTTTATGCTTTACGCGTATTTATCTAGCAATCGCGTGTTAAAAGTTAAATCCGGTGTTAAAAGGGGTTAAACGTGTACCGTGTCTTAAATCTCATCTACTCTCTGCCTTTTCTTCAACGTGAACACCGAAAGTCTTTATTATTTCTTGGTTTACTCCTTTGTGGATTTCTAATTAAGCCCAAGACATCATGCTTAAGGATTGTTATTCTCAGGGTGAAGCAGGTGTCCCTAAATACACTCTGACTCGACCACGAGCCTCGAGCAACTGTACCGGTGGCTGGAGGCTGGTACGGTGTAGCTTCGCCAGGCATGCTGCATGCACTCTTTTTGCCACGGTTCCGTGTTGCATCGACAGCCCAGAGGTCTTTCGTCGCAAAGCTAAAGAGGCGAAGAGGCATTCCTAGCTAGGAATCGACATCCTTATCTTGCTGCTATCCATACTCTCGCTTGCTTCGATTTTTTCTGAAAGCTTAATGATGATCTTTCGAGGAGGAGTATTCAGCCTCGGTTACATGCTGTTGGTTACCTTGTTCCCGACGATCAACAAGGCACTGGCAAATGAACTGGCAACCATGCCAGAAACCCCCAACCTTGGGGATCCAATTCTGTCAGGCTATCACTTTCGCATTACAGTAGTTGAACAGCTTGGATATGTGGACATTGAGACAGACAAGGAAACAGGAGAGCTCTCCTTTTCGGGATATTTGGTTGATGTCTTGAAAGAGGTATCCAAAGAGCACCGCGGCAATTTTACGTATGAATTGGCAACTCCTAGTGGCTTTGGGTCCAAGTGTGAAGGCCGCCTCAACTGGACCAAAGGAGAGGGGTTCAACTCAACGACCGAAGTCTTGGACCATCCTGAATCATATGGAATTCCGTTTCAAGCGCAGTACAAGTGCGGAGAGAGCGACGTCAATGATCGCCCGCTCTCTGCGTATTCCACAGATATGTACTGGAGTCTCTACTATATTACTCCAGAACGTCTCAAGGTGAACCGATTCACAGTGCCTTACAAACCTCCAGGCAAGGGAACTCTAGGAATGATGGGCACTGCCACATACATTTATTCGTTTGATGATCTGGTTGCAAACCACTCGGACCGCCCCATCTGTGCCTTTGCCAACACAGCCTATGTTGACTCATTACGAATGACTTTTCCTGAGCTTACCATCAACCTGGTCCACAAACCCGAGGGAATTCACAAAGCGCTGTCAGATGGCACGTGTGACATTTTTGTTGGTGCCTATGCAGAGCTAAGCGATATGGTCAGGGTTTACAGTGAAACAGGCAGGTGCCAAGCCCATGGATTGGTGAGTGTCATACAACCCAAATTGTTCTTCCATCCCTCCTGATACATATTGCTCTAACACGTCTAATTTTGGTTCCTTTGCTATAAAGCCCATTGGAATGATTGGAGAGCCTATGGAATTTGGATTGAACTACTTCAGTATTGGAGTTCGAACAGACCTCCCAAATGAAGTACTGGATACATTGAACTATTGGCTTTTGGCTCTCATGGCATGTTTCCCTGCTGACCCAGAGGGCATTTGTTTTGAAGATGGTGATGGAGGAAGCCTTAGTCAGCTCTATGATGGCCGAGGTGGCACTGGATTTGAATGTGGTTATGTCCAGTTTCCAGTATTGGAAAGTGCCGGAGGCCTGCATCCTGGAGTCATTGCTGCAATTGTTGTTGTTCCAGTCATCCTTGTGTTGCTAGGATCCATGGTATACCACGTGTATCAGCTAAAAGCACAGGAAAAACGAATGAAGAAGCGGTTCATTCAGCAGCTTGCTCGAAACATCGATATCGGGGAGAGTGCTCGTGAAATCCCAGCAGATAAGCTGACGGAGGCTTTCAAGCATATTGGTGGTGAGGATGGATTGATCAGCAAGCAGGACTTGGCCCAATGGCTCAATGATCTACACATGGACTTTTTGAGCGAAAGTGATTTTGACCGATTGTGGGATACAATGGACATGGAGGGTCGAGGTGTAGTCGAACCTCTTGACTTCTTTGCATTTTTGAGTGAATGTGGGCCCCAGTTCAAGGAGGTACATATGGAGTACTCATCACTGCCCAAGATTGAACGACAAAAGTTGGCATCACGACGCCTGTCCAACATTAGTGCAATGGGTGAGGAAGGAGTCAAACAAATGGAACGGCGGAACAACCGAAGGAGTCGATTGACTGTGCAAAACACGAGGGCCTCAGACAGCAAGTCTGGCAGATCACTCTCAGGCTCTTGTTAGTTCTATCAATGCCCAATCAACAAATAGAGCCTCGTACTGGGACAAGCAAACCTCTGCTCTGTACCCATTTCGACCGGCAGTCACACTGAAAACATCCGGACCAACGAAACTGCAGTCAGAGATCTCCCAGAAAGGAGGCACTCTCGGTCCCGCTAGCTAGACATGGCAGCTGTAAGCGCTGGATATGACAAATCAGACGCAAATCATGGCTTTGGTAACTAGAAGTTTGCTTATACTTGCACGCTAGTAGCAGTCTTCATTTTCCAGCCAGTGTACTGTAGTGGTTTCTTGAGCGCTACGTCAACGTGATACGTTCCTCGTAGGGTTGAGCAGAGCAGACCAGCTTTGGCGTACCGGTATACAGTACCCGACCTTTACCCTTTCGCTCTTTTCCGCTTCAGAAATAATGCGGGCCCAACACAGGACCGCCACGGCATGCCACAGCCAACCAAGTACTCCAAGAATACTTCACCGCCAGCGAGTTCCGTGAGCTTTAGACCCAGACAGTTTCATGCGCGAGAATGTCTGCGATTCCTTCAACACTATCTCGCGTGCGTCTGGATCAACCCTGTATTCCTGACATCGTTGGCTCTGGGATCAGTTGGCAGCCATGCTAGCTAGTGTTGCCTACCGGTAGGGATTAGGTCAGCACTCTTGCCGACAGAAATTACATGGGATCATATCGGTTCAAAAGGCAAGCAAATGGCCACAAACAACTCTGGCAATTCGGGCTCGCCACCGAACTTCCGAGGGTCCATGTTGATTGTTCTAGTTCGATAAATGCATAGTGGCAAGCAAGGGGTGCACGACAAGACGAGTTATACCGTAGACGAACCCTTTCTATCCCGACCACATTCAGAGGCCTACTCCCATTTTCATCTTCCGTCAACATCTATTTTGACTATTTCATACTATGATACTACTTGTTTTATGCTTCGATGACTTCACCAGTGGTGGGCTTCAAGAGTTCACACTTGCCTCCAGCACCTTCAATGGACTCGCGAGCAGCGGCAGTGAACGCATGTGCCTGCACAGTAATGTCCTTGGCGGTGAATTCTCCCTTTCCAACAACAATCTTGTGGATACCGTGCTTGGCTTTGGTGATAGCCTTGGCCTCCAAAAGAGATTCAACTGAAAAGAGTAATAATAGAAATAAGAAAGAGGGATCCATAAGCAAACACAGCAATATTGGGTTCCATTTTCTGTCCGAAGCCGAACTTACAACTGCAAGTACTTCCAGCAGCAACATCGTTGAGTTCCTCCAACTTGATTAAATTGTAGATGGTCTTGGAGTGACCAGGTCCCATCGGCCGTCCAACGTATTTGGGGAGACGACGGTAGAGAGGGTTTTGTCCTCCCTCGAATCCAGCACGTGTCGGACGTCCAGATCGGGCCTTTTGACCACGCATTCCAAAACCGCAAGTGGCACCTTGTCCAGCAGCAATACCACGTCCCTTGCGCTTTTTGCGTTGACGAGATCCTGGAGCAGGCCTGAGGTTGTCGAGAGTGAATTGAAAGTTGTCCAGATCGTTGATAGTGGATTCGTCCGCCTCTCGACGCTTCCAGTCAAACACCTTCATGGTGAGAGTCGACGACGAACGGATACTCGTGACGGACGACGCCCTTGGAACAAAGGCATAGCCGTCTACTCAACAAGTCAGGAATCAACATTTTGACATGCAAGTCAAGTTCGTATCAAACAAAGAGGGCAAGAGGCAAACAGGGTCAGCTTCATGAGAAAAGGTAATGGAGGCTTACGAGCCAAAAGAGCAACGAGAATACTATCTAGCTAGAGCTGGGAAACTGACTGGCGCCTTGACATCACATGAGAGGGAGCAGGCTAAGGACGCCTTCAAAAACTGAAGTCCTCGTGACCGAGCCTGCAAAGGGATTCTTGACGATCGCAGACGCCCCATAGCAGCAGAAGAATGCTTTCAAATCCACCCGTGAACAACTAACTCTCCACCTTGCTCAGCTAATCTATCGACACAAAAAGCAACGTACCTACAACTGACAGCACGGAGCTGCAGAGAGCGATCAGTGTGACAAGTCCCTTCATCATGGTGATACAAGACTCCACTTCGTTGTTGGTGTGTTGATTCTCCACAAGGGATCGATGATGGTGCTGTTGATGCGCTCCTCTCGCTGCGGCTGCTCATGGGCATCAATCCTCACCGCTCCCTGTTTACTAAGTTGATGTGCGATGACGTACTTCGCAATCGGTTGGACAGCAGATCGACCGTCGCACATTGCCCCGTAACACGCGACGCTACCTACCGAACCACCAACACGAGGCCCAAACCCTTGCTACCGGTAGCTAGCTCCTGGACCAATGCATGGGCCAACTCCAGAGCTTACCCCCGCGCCTACTCCAGGTCACAAAACAGGATCAAACCTGCTACTCGGAGTACTCTGCAGGCCCAACCCCAGGACCCAATCCAGGCCCAACCCAAGTCCCAATTCATCTGGCTGGTCGACCCCACTCCTGGACTATCACACGAAAACCAGGATGAACTCTGGGGAAGACGAAACTGGCTAGGACCAACTCCAGGCAAGAAACAAACCAGGAACAGTGTGCTGCTCAGTCTGCAGCTATCTGGGGAAGAGACTGCCACAAAAAGACCCAATAAGATTGATGGGTACAGTACTACGGCTGCAGCACTACTGACTAAAATTGAAACCTCAATGCAATTTTGCTACGTGAAGAATCCACCTACTAGTAAGGATATGCATTATTTTTGCTTTTCTTCTGCTTCCACAATGACAGAGGTGTCCCACTCGGATCCAGATTCGAGCATCTCAATCGCTGCCTCAAGTTTCTTGGAGGGTATCCTGGAAATCGACAAGGTGGGGCCAAATCGACGACCTCCACGAAAACACAGAAATGCTGGCACTGCCTTTACATTTAACAGCCGGCCCAATTCCTTCCCTACCTTTCCACCCGTGTCGGCTTTGGCAAACAGTATTCCATCAAAGTTGTCGTCGTTAATGCTGTATACATTGTCCTCTTCCATGCTTCTTCGTGCTAGACTGGTAAAACGGGGATTCAAAGTCTTGCAAGTTCGGCAAAACGTGGCAGACAAAAACAGAACACAATCTCGCTTCTCCTTAACGACGGTCTCATACAGCCCCTGTGATCCCACAATTTTCTGGACATAAGGATTTTCTTTCTCGTCTTCATCTTCACTTTTGCTCGAAATCATTTCCGACACCGACGGAGGTTCGGCAATCATGGTGAATTCATTTTCCTCTTCCTCCACAACTGGGAATCCAAATCGGACAGCTCGAGTTCCTCCACCACTGGAATCCGAGGGCCACATGGATGTCTCCATAAATGCATTGAGTGACCATCCTCTCAAGACGACATTGTTGTTATTTTCCGATAAGAAATCCTTGTTGTTTTTGTAGACAATACCTTTATCGAGCAAAGTTTCAACAGTTTTCCCAAACAATGGTGGTGGTACAATCGATTCAAAAGTGGCTGGCCGAGATTTGACTTGCTGCTGAACTTGTTGGAAATGTTTTTTTACTTTGCCAGGTCCAAACAGCACACCCTCTTTGTTGACTATACTCTGTGCTTTTGTCATGCTGGAGATGTATCGTTCACAATTGTGTCGTTGCTTGAGCAAGCGAAGAGTGGTTCCCATGGCCGCCATTGCGTCATCGTTGCCGCTATCGTACCCAACAGGCATGCGAGATGGCCGTTCGTCATCGGCTGTATCCAATAGAGAATCAAAGTCTCCAATGAAGGATGCAAATCCAATCTCATCATCACCTACCACGGGGGGTAACACTTCGACTTTGTATGGACGAATGTACGTGAAGAAAAGTATGTTCATTGGAAGCAAGATGAGCTTTCCTGGCATGTCCGTGCCTCATTTTCCCTTGTTCTTTAGCTTACCGTTGTCGTTTTGTACCTTGACCTTATTGGTACTGATCAGAGAGACTTGTGATCCCAACGCCGCCAATCCTTCTGCTGCGAAACACGCATAGTCATTGCCACCCAGAACGACCACTTTGCCAGAAACCATACTATCCTTGGCACCTCCCACGCCTTCCACTCTTGGGGCTGTGCAATGAATTCCCGTGAAAGCTGCAATCATGGTGTTGAGTGCATCTTGATCTTGGATACCTTTGCCAATTTTCGCCGCCGAGTGTTCGTAGACTTGCAGATTGGATTCCTTGAGAGAGACTTTCGGTAGTAGATCTTCATCATCATAATCACCGCTGCTTTTGCCCGCCATCACTCCCACAATACGGTCACCTGTATCATCTCGTGTACCCGCCACGACTGTCATGCGACCAGACTGTCTGTGTTGCTGCTGCTGTTGGGAATTTGCAAAACTTGTCGAATGGATGTCCACTCGGGACCATCATAGACAACATACTTGGTTGTGACGGCGTGCAGTGGAGTTTTTATTCTCACTGCCTTGTTGGAAGAAAAGGCATGGGTTTGAAAGGGAGCACATACCGAAAACAGAACCAGGCCTGCTGTCACTGTTGCGAAAATCATTGTACAACGCAACCGGACCCTCCGTTCAGCAAAGTTCACAAGCTAACTGAAGCCAGCAAAAAGTGTCGAATGATACCAACGCAAACAGTTTGTTGTTGGAAGAACTTGAAACCTCGGATATTGGATGGATCCAGGGAGCTGAAAACAGCGGCGCGGGTACCCAACGAAGGTAAATGGTGTCAAAGAAAAAAACAGTTGTCCCAACTTCGACTTCTAAAGGGTCAAATCTTGAAAAGATGTCGATTGATGACGTGGATTTGTTACCAACGTTAGCCAGTAGAGCCATTTGATATTAGCCATCTCGCTTCGGCTTCTGTTGGATGACAGGCAGGACTGGGGTGTGGTTCTTGCTGGCAGTACTAGTACCCACTAGCTAGACAACGCTATTCTGCTATCTACGGCTATTAATAGTAAGTCAGAGAGGGTGGGTATGCCTCGATTGACGTGCCCTAGTGATAGCTCTATCTAGGATTGCTAACAGATATGGTCGATTTACATCTGGAATTCTGGACACTGATCTGAGCCACCCAGGCAGCTGCTGGGCGTTTGAAATCACCATGATAATCCTTCCTAGCAGTTGATCAAAGCAATTGAGAAGATCATCAGCCACAGTTCCGATACTCAGCCTGCTACTAGCTTGATCCGGCACCTTACGCAGATATCTGTCTGTCAAGAGCTATGTCAAGTGTAATAATGTGGACGGACCTTTGCTTTTCGGTTGATGTGAGCGCGGGAGTTCGGTTGCCCCTGGCCAGCCAGCCAGCTGGCCAGCACTCATTCAAGATTGCACCAATCCCACAAACAGCTTACTCTAGCTATCATAGTAGCCACTTCCATTTCAGAAAGGATGGTCAATATTCTCGAATGACTCCAGCACCAGAGTGTGAGTTCACTTTTATTCTTTTATTTATCATTGCATACATCCTGCCGGAATACTTAATTAAGCTGTGAGTGACATCATAACGGCACACGGACACCCTCCAGTGCCTCCACGGGTGTATGGTGCTGTACTTACTTACTCTGAACTCTGAACAATTAATTGACAATAGTTTCCCGCGACGGTTTCGATACTGTAAAAAAACTAAAGCCCTTTCTTTCTTCGACTGTGTTTTTTTAACCCCGAGATGTCGCTTGCGGAAAGAAGATAATAAACAAATGGAAAATAAAGCCCTTTCTCTTTGGAAAGAGTCTAAATCCTCGAAAGTTCATGCAATCTATTGTTCTAGCGCTACGAGAGCCCCTGGCCAATAATCGATCGTTCGATGTCACTGTTTGCAATGAAGATCCACCGGGACATTCCTGTTTAAGAGAGGCTTCCGTGCTTGCCTCTTTGGCTCTTTGGTGTGTGTGTTGGTGGCGCTTGTGGCCACGTTCTTGCTACCGGGTACCAAAGCTGCAAAGCAAAGGAGCTGAAAGTGATGAAAGAGCCAGTAATACCATCGTCTTGAAGTGTTCATAGTCCTGAATAAACCTTCACCTTTGGTTCAGTCTCTCCCTTTTGCTCATTGACAATGAAGAACGGCCAAGCCATTCACACTACCACCATGGATTCTTCTCCCAAGCAACCACGAAACAACAACCGACAGCAGCGGTTCCGCAAGCTCGCTGGAGCCACAAATCAGATCCCCATCATGCTGGAACCGGAAGAAGATCGCATCACTTCGCCGCCCCTGGAAATCTACGTGAACGAGTTGTCCGTGTCTGGGTCACTTGAGGCTTCCTCTTCTGCCATGACGGATATAACTTTTGAGAATAGTTGCTCGATGAATCTGAGTGGCCTCTTCTCCTTAACCTCGTCCATGAGTTCACTGGGCGGAGATGGGATCAACGTGACAACCGCCTGTGCATCGGGTGATGATGAAGAAGAAAACCAACGACGATTGCCCCCAAGAGGACAGAGCTGTGGCCGCTCCAAACGAGGTGGTCGCAAGGGTGGCGTCATGAGGTGGGCCAGCATGCCACAAAAGAAGAGCCCGCACAGCCGAGCTGCAGCGACGGAGTCACCACCTTGCACTTGCACCCAAAACAGTCCTCGCATTCCTCGTCGACGAGGGAGCAACGACTCCCTCAACACCTCTGATTCTATTAATAGCAGTGCCAACAGGAAATCGGAGGAAGAGCACCACCACCAAGGGGACTGTGGTGCATGCAAGACCAGGCAAAAGCCAAAACTACCCATACGCAAGGGAAGCGCTGCATCGCTGTTTGATGATAGTTTTTCCACAACTAGTTCCTCTACAGAGGAGGCAGACGAAGTTGTCCTGTCAGCCCATGCTGCATAGAAAGAGCTATTGGATGGGATCTGCACTTGGTTGTCCTGGTTGGGCCCTAGAAGGGACAAGCATTACAATGTCCTACTAGTAGAGCATGTTTCTACCATACTATAAACATTCATAACCGAGGAGATTAAGATGTGTTCCAATTCGTTGAGACTCACTGTTACTAGCAACAATGCTACCGTCCCGATACCATGAACCCCAATAGCTGCCCCCAAAACTTGGCCGTCCGAGCCCAGGCAAGAGCGTGAAGTCGCTACTTCATAACATCATCACGGCAGCCTCCTGCTCCCAAAGCTACCAGCAAGCTGGCTGGGATGTCAAAGCTCCGGTTTGCGCTGCTTCCCATGGGGGCTCTAGCTAGCTAGTACCAGGTATCTAGATTCCTGAATCACGCAAAACAACATTGAACTCTCGCCAGACATGATCAAGCGAGGTGGTACCGGTGCTGTCCTTAGCTGGTAGGGGCAGCAGCAAGAAGGGAACAGCTCTTTCAACCATAAGAAGAACAAACCAGCGATTGAACACAGGGGGTGTTTTTGATTTGGCTGGTTGGGTTACATGTAGAGTACATGTAGATCTAGCCAATCCAATTGGTGCAAGCCAGTGCTGCTGGCTTATTACTAGTTCTGCGAATTCAGCGACTGTCTACAGTACGAATACATGTAGCGACATCGGTAGCAGCTGAGATAGCAGCCAAGCGTACAATATCCCTGGTCAAAACTTCCATAGTAAAGAGCAAAAGAGATTCCAAAGGTTGCGCGATAATTCATCAGCCAGCCATTACATTGGAAGTAAACTGGAAGCAAAAAGGCACATCGTCACCGTGGTTGAGCGAGCGACAAGGAAGAGGTCGATTGTGGACTATTCAGCCAGCCAACAGCCCTTCTACAGTGTACCTGGTACCGTCTCAAATGGACTCGACTCCAAAATAATGGCAGGATATTATTGATCACCAATCTAATCTTTCCCAGCAGTCTGTTAGGATTGCTACGCTTGATTGTTAGACGGAGGCCTCTTGCCTCCTACTAGCTAGCTAGGACCAAGCGGAAGACAGCTCGCATGATATTATTGATGAAACATGAAGGGGATGCAAGACAAGAGGTTATCCGGAGGTTGAGAGTTAATGAGGAATGCGATTATCGGCGCGCTCAAGAATGCCCGCTGCACTTGTTTCAAAACCATGGTATTCAGTGCAACCAAGGAGCCTTTATTAACCCGTTTTGAACTCGTACTTGCCTCAACACCATCAAGAACCACACCGCAAACAGTTAAAACCATGCTGATAAACCGAGACTGTTCATTGCGTAAACTTCTTTGCTAATTGGATGTGATGATGGGATCCTTCAATACTTAAATATTTATCAGTGTGCCGAATTCCTACAGCTTCTCTAGTCGTGATACTGTGCTGACCATGACTCTTAATAAATCTCTGAACGCCGACACCGGTCCCAGATTTACAAGACACTGAATGTTTCAGTAGGAGAATGACCATGCAAAGTGATGTGGTGTCGTCGGAAACGGCTGGCATCTGCATCTTCCGCAGCGGGGTGCCTCATCAAGAAATAATGGGAAACGAACTGCTTCCAAGCTCCCACCAAGCCGCTGCTGTTCGTGCTGTTGGACCGCTTGTCCACCGGAGATTCGATTCGAGTACATGTAAGTTCACTCAGGCGACGGGAGAGAAGCCACCGACCGAGAGGCAGCTGGAAGCAACAACAAACAAGACCCCCACCACCCTTTCTTTAGAGCTAGACAACAGTACAGTAGCATTCGCTATCAACACAATAGAAAAACGGCAAAAGACTTGCTTTGCTTGGCCCATGTCGGCTACTAGCATGCTAATACCCATGGCATCGAGGCTCCTCTTTCGAGGGGTGCTTCTGTGGATGCTGCTGGTTCTAGCATCGGTTAACGCCGATGACTACCGTCGGGTTATCGTTAGCTTCGATACCTCGCGAGACTGTACCGAGTCCATGTTCCCACCCTTGTGGACGAATATAGTAGAACAAGGCTTGGCTCGCGTAGGTATCCATTACGAGAGATGGACTCATGGATACGATGTAGACGGAGACGGCCGTAAGCTGCAAGTCAACAGTGGCTGTCCTGAATGGTGCAAGTACTTGACTCAATACTGCGAGTGCCTTTGCGTCACCACGTGCGAGGAACAAGGAAACGGAAACAGCAATGGCAATAACGGAAACAGCAACGGCAACGGCAATCGAAGACACCTTCGAGGCGATGAACGACAAGAGGAACTTTTAAAGCGTGGACAAGCACAGGCTCAGTACGATGCCTTGACGAACGAACGTCGCATAGAGGCAGCTCAGTTTGTGGTGGACGAAGACACTGTTCGAGAATATATCGAACTGCAGTTGGATGAAAACGATTTGACCATCGAGTGCATGCAAGAACAGCACAGGGCAAGAGTTTATCTGATCAGATGAGAGAGATCAATCAAGACAGGAGAGAATGGAAAAACTCGACTCGACTGAACTTTGCCCTTGAGGACCATCATCAAAGGTGGGCCTCTTCAAGATTATGCCCCAAGCAGGACGTGGCTTTTGCTACAGCTTGTTCGTTCTTGGATAAGACGACGACAGCCCTGGTCCGTGGCTAGCTGGCCGCGAAAGCGACCGTAGCAAACCAGGAATTTCATGCAACTTGCTTGCAAGGCACCGGAATCCCGTCGTCTGATGTACTGATGCAGTACTCATCGAAAGAACGACAGAGGTGCCTCAAAATAATTGATATCCTGAGAAGAATTGAATATGTGCAGCCCGAACATTCACGAGGGCCAGCCATCCAGCTATCTACCTTAGCTTTGGAATCACAATAACTGAATAATTGATTGGATTGAATCGAATCATTCTGGTAGCTTGCTAATATTATCCACCGTACGACAAAATCAATTAGGATTTTTCTCATTGCAGAGGTGTGCTGCGTCCTTGACCCTGTTGGATGGAGGTGTGCCTCGGCATGTATCTCTACCTCTAGCCAGAGGATCAAAATCTAGTACCGTAGGTTCCTGTCTCCCCAAAGGAATTCTTCTGTGTGCAGTGAAGCGTTGCGCCCAGCCATTCTTTGCCGAGTTGCCAGGAAACTTGGGCATTTATTTCAACTGCATAGTTCTTCTGTTTCCGCACGGTCCCCCCCTGTAATCGCATCGTACTTGGAATGGAATGCCCCACGTCAAGCTACGGTACCAACTGGCTAGCTGGCTGCTAGGAACGTTTTTGTATCGGTGCTTCAGAACACGCACTGTTGGCTTTTTGCATCTTTGATCACAGCCAGAAAGGGGTCAGCGCCATGGGCTAGCTGGTGCCGGTAGACGGAAGCTTGCTCGAACGTAAAAATCGACGGCTGCTCCAATGTATGTGATGCCGACCGAAGCGGTCAAACCTATCAACGATAGACAGAGCGGGGTCATGCGCCATTCCGCCCAGTCTACTTTCGCAGCTAGCTTGCACCTTTGGCACCCAGATATACATGAAGAATATAAAGCGACTCTAAGCAAATAATAATATGTCCAAAGATCAACGTATATATCTCTTATGCAGGTCAACAAAATGCCGATGCTTTGGTATCATGGCCAAGTAATGTGATTATCTCTGCTTTCTTTCTTTCTCTCTCTCTCTTTCTTTTTGTAGTCTAATTGTTGAATAAAATCAAAGGTGGATTGATTGCTTGACTGACTGACTGACTGACATGCCGACTGTCAACCACACGATTCCGTTCCATCCAGAATTACCAACAACTGTTGCATTTTCTTTTGGCCGCCCGCCACTTTCTCTACTTGGCATAGTCTTTGGTGTATTTCTTGGCCATTTTCTCAAATTCCTTTGGTTTCTTTTCCAATTGATTGGCAATCTCCTCCTCCAAGGGATGATCGGTCTGGGGCGACTGCAGCAAGCTGAAGACCACTTGCAGACAGTGCTGAGCATTCAGCGTCGGTCCCCAAGTACCCAACACATCTCCACACACTTCACCAGTCTCCGTCTGGACACTGGGATGGTAGACTTTCGTCTGGAACACCAGCTTGGGTGGCTTGAAGGGATACTGCGTCGGAAAATCCAACAGCAACACGAATCGGCCGCCGGCGTACGGAGAGTTTTCGGGGCCTTGAATGTGACAATGCCAGCGAAACAAGTCGTCTCCGACCAGCTCAATGCCCGTCAAAAAGCCAAACGGCTGTTCTTTCTCAATTTTGGAGCGTTCCTACACAACAACGACAACAGCAACATACATCAAGAATAAGAGATGGCCAGACACGACAAGCGGCGGCACCATCCAATAAGCGAGTCGTGGTGCCCATCAGCGCAGCCTTGCTCTCGGATCCGAACAAGGAGAGGCTCTCCCCATGGCGTCGTCCACTCACCTTCAACAGTCGCTTCGCCATGGTATCTTCTTGCTGCTCTCTAGATAGGAAGTCTTTCGTCACTACAAGATGGTAAACAACTGAGACAATGCCTGATGCCTGCCAACGTTCAAAATGAGTTTCACAAAGCGGTCATCCAAACAACAAAAAGATCCCAGTCTCAAAGTCTCGCCGAGATCCAGCGGGAGCAAGTCCCATGAAGCCAACATTATATATAGGTAGTTGGGGTAAACCAAATTCTAAATAGAGTAATATGAAACTTTAACTCTATATGTACCCCAACTACCGTAAACTCATCTTGCATTAGCAGCTGTTTGCTGAGGAGCAAAGGTGCGTCCTCTAAGGCTTGGAGGCCTCGAAAAGCAAGTCAGACCTCCCGAAAGGACAAGCTTGTATCCAGCTAGAAGCTAGGGCTCCATGCATCCTACTCTAAGTAGATGCCATGGTACAGTATGGTAAGCAATATCTTTTAAACCAGTTAATAGAAGCAAAGGAACTGAGAAGGAGACAAGCAGTTAGCAGCTACTTCAGATTCGATTCAAAAGAAACACAAAATATTTCTAGTTCCTTCTTCAAGCTTGAGGTATGTAGATTGAATCATTCAATGCAGAAAACTATAACAACCCTTATGTAGCTGAACTCAGCTACTAGAAGTACCGGTAGATTGCAAGGTGCACTGAGCAAAACAATTTGACTGACCAGCTACCACAGTAGTTCTTGATCCTTTCCTCGTTTGTCTACCAAACCTCATTGGCTTCGTCTGTGAGCTGCCATTCATCTTCGATTGTCACATCAATAATCTCGGGTATGCGCTGTATCAGGTAATTAGAAACCCGGTCCAGCACTGTGGTCCTCTCGTGCCAGAAGCGTCCCTTCAGTCTCACCTGTATATTACAGCGGTGGCAACATGCAAAAGTGAGTGAGTAGTTTGATTAGCAATCAAAACAACATTCAATTGCACGCTCTCCCCCGGTTTTTCACAAAACTCACCACTACAGTAGGTCCGTCCATCTCCACATAGTCGACACCACCCGTGATGCCAACGCCACGATTTTCTTCTGTGTATCCGAACAAAGTACCCAATTCACCACGGCAAGCCGACAAAACACCCATGACAACGTCCTCGCTCAGCTCTAATTGGGAGCCTGCAACCAAAAAAGAAAGACAAAAAAGCATTGGCAAACCCAACCAACTAAATCCACAGTGGGACAGCTTGACAATACAATACAACTCAATTCAATGGAGTCTTACCCGCTGGAACTTGCAGGGGTGGAAAATCATTCTCAATTTTGGGAGGCTCCAATCCGGAACCTATTTGTGCCTTGCTCTCTTGAGAATCCTCTTCCACGGCATACTGGTTTGTGTCGATTCGCAGATCGTCAAAATCTTCGTCATCGTCCAGTGCTGTAAAATCGGACCAATCACTGGAGAAGCGACGGGTTGTGGTGATGGAGCAAGTTCGTTGGACGCAGAATGCCGGCCGTTGGAAACCAAAAGTAACGCCACAGCAAATGGCCACTGCAAGGAGCTGTTGAGAGAGTTTTGGTGTCAACATGATGACAGAGATTAGAACCAAATGATCACGAAGCAGACTAACAACTTGAACGAAGAGAAGCTCCTCCTTCGAATGCTCTCTCCAACTCTTTGGCAACTTCATTAAATTTTTGTCGCCAGAACACGTATGCGTGATCTTGGAGCAAGTGTGCGGATGAATGCAAACCTGGGAGAGACTGCTGAGCTGCTGAGTCACTCACCAAAGAACAGGAAACAATGACAGTGTGTCAGAGAGTGTAAAAGGGGTTTAGAGTAGGGAAATTATCTACGGAAGCCAGCCGGGGCCAGGCTTAAGCAAAGAACAGTCGAAATTCAGGACTAGGTTCTGAGGGATCAGGGGCA